GTACTTTCGCGAATATTCTTCCACTATTTTCCAGTATATTTTTATTTTTGCTCCTAAGACTCTGAAACTCATGAAATATTTCTGACATAGATTTTTTAAGGAATAGTTTTTCAGTCATCCTAAATTTAGATTTAATATTTTCTCCAGCGGAGTTTCTGCATTTGTTTGTTTGAGTGCCTTAGATATCAGTGCCAGCTCTGCGTATATATAAAAAAAGGAATCGTAAATTAAAATACTCAGGGACATATCGAAAAAACACTTAAAATTTTCTTCATATTTCCATATTTTGAGAATTTCTTCTTCTTTTAAAATCACCCGTATTCAGAATGATTGTACGTATAGCTTATTTTTCGGAGTTAAAACGTTTTGGACAATTGTGTTATATTCACATGAGAAATTTATGACTACAGGTAGCAATTGAATTAAAAGTTTGGCCTTTGTCCCGAAACACACACATATCTATAAGTGAAATACCACTGACTCATCACGAGATCTCCGAAACTATACACCGATTGACTGCGAATTTTGCATAGTTACTCATTCCACGATGTAGACGCGCACTAAGAAAGGATTTTACGTAAATTCTGTCCAAAATGGATTTTTGTTACACAATAGAAGTTTTTCATACATTTGGTTTTCAAATCCAAGTTCAGAATTTTCTTTTATTGTTGCCAATGAATGCATTTTCCTTTAAAATTATTAAATTGGTAAATAACTTGCACCTATCCAATGAATACAAACAACATTTAAATGATAAGGTTAATAATAACATTTATATTTAATTGTTATCGTAAGTTTCATGAAAATAAATTTTATTATTAAGAGAAATAAATTATTGTGATGAAAAATAAAAATGTTGTTGTTATTTATAAAAATTGCCACATAAAAAATCAAGGTCAAATAATTATAATTGATTAGAAATTTGATAACAAAGCTAATAACATTCATTTTCATGAAACTTATAATAAACCTTAGTTTTATGTTGGCAATTTTGCGTGGTGTAGGCCTACTGGAGATCCCGCCACGTTAAGTAATGGGGATGCATTCCAATACACCTTACCTCATGGATGATGTGGAAATCTGTGTATGACAGATTCACTGATTGGCACTATATTTCCCGACTTTAAATTTAAAAAAATTACATTAATTATCAATTTGAAATTAGACATTTCGTCCAAATAAAAAGGTTAAATAAATAGGTTCACATTCAGATAGATAGTGTGCCCAGCAAAGCTGGCGGGTATAAGCTAGTATATATATATATATATATATATATATACAGACTGGGGAAATGTTGCTACTTCGAGACTTAAGATCTTTATTTCCCACGCATTCTAGCAATTGCCATTCGAAGATCATAAAACCTTTTACCTAGATTTAAAAATATAACTGTAGCTGTTTAATAAACTATACCCCCCAAAAAGCTAATTCCTTAGTAATTTATAGCTTTATTTTATTTTTTTAAATAATATCTCTATTTGAGATAATTTGTCATACATGTAATTGTCATAATTTGTATGAATTTTATATCATTATTGTAATTAATAAAAATTTACGAAGCTATATATTATTGTGTGCCTAAGAATAATCATTTCCTCACCTCTTTTTTTTTTTTTTTTTTTATATCGAATGCCTGTCACATGATTATTGCGCATAAATCAATAACTGAAACTACGTGTATAGGATGATCACAATTTCCCGAGCAGCGAATTTCTAAAAATACTACAGCAAGCTAAAAGCTAAAGCTTTTGTGGCAATATAAATCAACAAATTATCAAATTAAGATTGAAATTTTTTTACAATGTGTCAAATGATTTAGTTGAACGCCCCCTCCTGGGAAAAAAAAAAGAAAAAAACTCTGCTGTTAGTATATTTTGAATCTTTACTATCAGCACTCTGGGAAAAAAATAAGCGAAGAGACTGGAGCTTGACACAAGACATGTTTGATCACCAGATCTATCCTTCCCACGTTATCACTATAAAAACGAATTTATCGAAATAAACCACAATGGGTCCATTTAAGTTTATATTCAGGTCATGTGCTTTGTTTTTATTCACATGGTAATGCTTATGAAAAGAACATGCTTACGATCTGAATGCCTTGTAAGCAAGCATCTTTATCAGCACAGAATAAATTAAAATAGTTAAAAATATGCATTTCTTCTAAATATTTTGTTACCATATAACAAAGATGCTATTTCCAACAACCTTTGTAAATCAATATTGTTTGTCCGAAAGCTGGTGAAAAATATTATTTTCGGAGATACTGCGAAAATAAAATTTTTAATTCTGAATTCAAGAATTTTACTGTGACACTGTATTTAATTATAAATTCTAATATGATATCTAATAATTTGAATGCTTTTACTATTTTTTGCATTTTATTTTCCACTTTGGGAACGATATTTTTGATATTCAATATGTAATTAACGTGCCTGTAAATACAATTAACTAATTTATTTTAAATCGTCAAAAAAGGACGTTCATTTTAGCAATAATAGGAAAATCTGAAAAACAAGCACGAGTTGGAGACTAGAATATTGCTCATTGTGCTTCGGCGTTTGGTTCTTGAAAGAATCTTCTTTCTCCAGTTACCTCAAACCCTCAAACGAAAAAAAAAAAAAAAAAAAAAAAAAAAAAAATAAAAAAAAAAATAAAAAATAAAGTCATTTCTGTTTAATTCCAGCTTTAAATAAAGAGCCTAGGTTCCTCTGCTCTGAAATCCAACTTACTATCACAGCCTCCGAATCGCCGAAGAATCTGCCGCAGTTTTGTAGATCTTCCTCAAGAGATAAGATTGCGATCTCATCTCCGCGTATGCACCTGCTTCGGTCTAATGGTTTGGCACCACAAACTTATGGCTTCCTTGGAAATGCCCCATTTCGCCCTAACCATGCCAACAAGACATGGAGGAGTCCAGCCACCCTCGTGAACAATGCATCCCTTGTCGGATGACGTGGATTGCAGACTTCTCAGTTTCTGTACGATTCTTCCCCGTTTGGTTAATCACTCGTGCATATCGTGAAGTTATAAATGTAATTTACGGTAAGATATTAGATAAGATGAAGAAATGCAGCATCAAAAACACAAGCTCCTCAGAGCAATATAATTGTTTCTAGGAATTCCTACAAGTTGTATGCTGACTCGTAATCTATATGTGTTTTTCTTTAGTATTGACAATTATCAACTTTCTTTCTTTCTTGGAAATTAGTAACTTCACTCAGTATTTTCACTCAGATGGAAGTGTTATTTTCGCTGAAGTATATTTAAGAAATTGACAGAATATTCTACAAGGAATGAAATTTCCCAAATAGCTGGATTAGACAAAAATTCTGGGAAAAAATTTAAGCTGTGCGATGCAGCGAGATAGTTGCACGGAGCATAGTTTAAATCATTGTGAATGCTTTGTATTTTGGTTGCCTACAATAAACTCTACGTGCAGTGAAGTTAGACAATATATTTTACCTGTGCAATTAGTTAATTATCACGCAAGTAGTTAAGAGGAAACATTGGGAAACAGTTTTTAGAAGTGAATATAACTCATTTTTGGAATTTGATCATTTGTTGTGATCTGAAACTCATAATATATATTTTTTTAATATTATCACGATGAAATAAAAAGTTTTGATTATTAGTTCTTGTATGAAAGAATATAAACAAGAACAGGATGGAGCACCATTTAAATCCTGCTTACACACATTATAAATTCTAATTGAAAGAGAAGTACACAAATGTAAAAAAAAAAAAAAAAAAAAAAAAAAAAAAAAAAAAAATTAGACGGAAAAAAAAAACAACCTTTTGATATGCACAAATTTTAATAAATCTCAGCTGAGTTTTCAATCTAAAGTTGCTTTTCTACTTAATATTCAATTTGTTTCGTTTATTTGTCAATCGAATCATTGCTGTTATTGCTAAAAATTAAGTAGTTCAACTTAAAATAAATAAATAAAAAGTAATTGATTGACGATAGTAATTAGAAACAAATTTTCATTTTGTATAAGCTTCCAAGATTCCAACTCATCGCTGTAGGATAACACATTTGTTCAGATTTTGGATAATAATTTCGTCAAATAGAAATATGCATTACTGTGTTAAATAATGGTATAAGCAGAACAATTAACGTATGAATACTCGCTCGGTAACTGTTGCTCGAAAGACTAGAATCGCAATGAATTTCGACTATTACTTTCTTATCACTATTAGTCTACAAGACATTATTCCCTAAACAGGATGTGTAAAAAAAAATCATGACTTAATATCTGTTAAGCAGTTGCAGAGCTATTATTTAAATTTAAGAAATAAATGAAAGAAAGCAAGCTTTCAATCCTGTAACAAATTGCTTCTTACTTCGCTTAAAAAAAGGAAGTCCGAAATATGCAACACTTGCCCTGAAAAAAGAATTGTGAAAATACATGACTTAAATCAGTTTTTAACTTGGAAAAATGTTGATGTTAGAAATGGTATAAAGATTTAATTCCTTGAAGTACAAAGTTTCGAACTTTAGCATTCTAATGACTTGAAATGCATGTTCCTGTTTTTCAATGTTCATCAATGTTTTTCGGGCTTAAATGGCATCTTTTGGAAATTCACATTTGAAAACTTAACATATGTTGCTGCCTGAAACACTATTTTTATATTGACCTCCCCAATTTAAAATAAATAGATTTTCTTAAACTGGTATTGTAATATGGAAATGGAAAATTTTTTTAATTACTTTGGCTTAGAAAAACGTTTCTCTTGTTGACAGTCTGAAGTCTGACAGTTGTTTTCTGCACAGCTCATAGAAAAATTTTATTAGGTAAGTTCCCCGTATTTTTACTGATAAAACTTATCGCAGTCTAAATTTATGCCTTTTTTTTATTCTTTCTTTCTTTTTTTTTTTTTTTTTTTTTTTTTTTAACTCAAGCAGTAGATTTGCAGTTGATCGATTGTTGAATGTTTCGAAATAATTTATGTACTCTAGATATGTTTCAATAGCCAAGGAGAAAATAAATATTTACCAGTCTTCTTTTTGGCTTCACTAAAGGTCTGCTATGGCCATTCATTTTGTAGTAAAGTCCACAAGCATTGCACAAATAATGACCCGTCCCATCTCGCCTCCACAGCGGCGTAGACGTAATTCTACAATTCACACATTCACGGCCTGCCCGAAGAATAAAATGTCATAAAGTGTTATTATTTCATATTTACTAGCAGTTTCAATCTTAATAAATTTCTTTTATATGTGGCTTGTAAAGCAGCTAAATATTTTATCATCTCGTAATCCTAATTTAACGCAGTAATTGATTTTATTTATTAATATCTATCATTTCCGATACATATTATACATATATATGTACATATATATATATATCTAGATTATTTTAATCAGTTAAATAATATAAAAGTTTCGTGTACAGTCTCGATTATTCTGTTTTGACGAAACGCGATGTGGAATTAGTTGGATTCGAAAGCCATTGTGCATTTCCCCTGAAGAGTCCATAATGAGATTCGAATTAAGCTAATTTACCATTTACCGCTTCTTTGTGTCTTTGTATTTCTGCTTATGTCTTAAATAACTTTTGTATTTCTATTCAAATGTTTTAGAATAGTTTTAACTTTAATCAACATATTACTTCCAATTTGATTTGAGTTTTAAATTCGGTTTTTATTTGTAAGTATTCTTGTGATAATTTCATTTATCTTGTATTTACACTTTTAATTGCAATTTATTTTAACTTAGTGTTAAAATTATTCACCGGAACCACAGTATCACATCTGCTTTAAAGCAAAAGCATAAAGAACATTCTTTTTACCTTGTTTTCTAATTTTCGCTGCTCAATGCGCAAAATTCTTGACCACAAAGGTCTTTTTTAGTTTGTTCTTTTTTCTTAAATTATATATATATGTCTATATCTGCACTAATATTCATTCTATTACGTCAGAATATATTGTAATGTCAAATATTTAATTGGATTCATATATGTTCTTCATGCTGTGATATTAAATGCATTCATATGCAATCAAGTATATGAGATTTACTTCACAATATATAACTGCACACTGATGCATTGGTGAAATAAATAAGAATTTAAGTTTCCATGTAAAGTATCTACACCTGCATCCAAAAAACCCTACCAGTGGCGAGTGGTTAAGACACTAACAATAGATAATCTAATTTGTAGACTTACTTTAAGAAACTGAATATTTATTTTCTTTGACCTAAAAGCTTCTTATATGCGCAACAACATAAATTAATATAATCAATAGCAAAATATTGTATATGAAATCATATCTGTCACATCATATATATTATAAAAATTATATTAAATAATATAAAAATAACATAATATTATTAAATATATATTACATTAAACTGCAAGACTTCTTTAACAACATTTTCATAGCAAACATAAGCGGTATATACAAACTATCGGTTCTTACTTTATCGTGTTTTTCTGCTAGAATATTTGCTGCTCATTCCTTTATTAATAAGCTATAAGCATTAAAAAATAATATGCTAATAGAATTTAATATTCAGTAACTTGTAAGAAACAATGAAATTCATGAAGACATTACGATTTCAAATGTTGTAATTTATTTTCCACTCTTTGAATAACGAAAGCGATGATAAGCTTTTAGTGAATTTGCATAAAAACTGCAGGTGCTTCAAAACGGCTCTAAGAACATTTCACTTTTCCTGTTCTGCGTTTGTAAAAAACAAAAAGATTGTACATTATCAACAATTCTATGTTGTAAATTTACTTTTAATTTTAATCAAAATTAATTATAAATTATTAAATTTCTCACACTTATTGTAAGGTTTTACTTCCCTCAGTTATCTTATATTGGCTTTCGTACACCTCCTACTTCCAGCAGCTTACACTGGAATGAAAATCGGTTGAATTATAAATAAACTTTAGGTTCTAAATTTCAGTCAGAGAGATTGCTTGGCAGCATAACTTGGCAGCATAACTAATTACTGTTTTGAGTTTCCCTGTTAAAATTTTATTGGACTAAAAATAAGTAAGTTTCGGCTGCGATTGCTTCGCTAGCAGTCAATAAGAGTTAAGTGTGTTAATTATGTATGATTTTTAATTTAAACGCGTGATTCGACTGCCCGTAAGTTAGCCGAGTTTTAGTTTCTATTAATTTATAATTTCTCTAACCATTATGTCGACTTATTAATAAGTAGTTTTATTCTAGACTTTCCTTTGAACGTAATACTTGTAGTTAGAAGGCAGACGATATGAAAAGTCATCTGAAGATCCCTACAGTTATTTGGAAGTGAACTGGCAGTTCAAAGTAACAGCGCAATTGTATAATGTTACTGTAAAAAGTATTCTCCGGGCTTGAGAACGTATATTATATATTACATCAAAATAAAAGTTAATACTTTGAGTGGTTCCTTTTGTTATTTCCAAGTAAGCCACAGTATGATGAAACAATAATTGAAAGTTATTTATTATTATTAATTATTTTGAAGTCGTATACACTCTTTAATACTAATAAGTATGAAGGAGAAGCAAATGAATTAAAGTTATTCCATAATAACTTCTGTGCTGCGATTCTTGTGTGGTAAAAAAAATATATAATTTTTTTCGTCATTTATTACGATGCTTTATTTACTTTTATGCTAGGCTCCAAAAATGAAATACTCACCTGCATTTAAACGGCCTTTGCTTTTATGTTTTTTCAATTGAGTTTCATTATTCGTTGCTTTCTCTTCTGTAGTATTTTTACTTTCAGCTTTCGTTGGAGGAGCCGATGTCGATGGAGCTTCATTTTCTCGTGAGGTAGGATAGGGATACTTATGTGTAGGTGCGTTATGAGAAACGATGTTTTGATACTGATTTGTATGGCTGAAATGATGAGGAACTGATTGGTATGCCTGTGGGCTATTTTGATGGTTTATCGTTGCATGGCAACAAGAGCAGGAACAAATTTGACCTTCAGAATGAAATAAATACAGCAAAATTAAAACAATTATAATTCTGTTTAAATAATAATCAATTTAAATTATTTGCTTATATATTAAAAGCGATACTTTCCTTGAAGCGAGCTCATATTTTTGTTACCTTCAATAGCTAAAAACCGTTTATTCAATAAAACTTAGCAGCTTTTCCTTTCATTATTTAACTACTTATTTCTTTATTTCTGTTATGATACTTATATTAAATATCACGCAGAAATAAACGAGATGATAGGGCTGAAAAATTAACAAAAGATACTATTTTAAATTTAAAGGATTTCTGTCATTATTAATATCATAATTATTAATCATTAATAATGTCCACATTCTTATATTTCAACTACATTCCACAAATCACACTTATAATATAAGGAATAGATAAATTCGGAAGAGGGAAGAAGCTTATATGAGCTCGTATGATTTTGTACTCACTTGCAACCATCAACAATTTAATTTGAGATTTCATAATGACTGGTTTTTAACAAATTGTTCCCCATTCTTAACTTTTACTTCCGATATATTGAAATGCATGCGATAACCCAGGGCCTAGTACAGCCGCCATTCTATGTATAAAATAATGTCTAAATAACCAAAGACTTTTATAGAATGAGGATCAAGATAATATGTCCTTTGCTTTTACAGACGCGAATAGCTGCTTGATAAATTCCATTGACCATCCATACTGGAGAATATTGTTCAAAACGTCAACCAGTGCAACAGATCTTATATCGAGCTCCAATCAGAAACTTAAATTCTGTGCAATAAGAACCTTCGTTGTAAATAACATTCCAAAAACCGGCCCTGAATTCGTAAACAGTAGCCTCCATCATGTATTTGTCATCTCTAATATAATTTTATTCGTAAGATTCAAATCCATATACACAGGAGAGCCAAAATATTATGACCACCTACTGAATAAAGCGACCTTTGGCGTGCAAAACATTGCAAGTCGCATTGGCATGGATGTCACAAGTTCTTGGTAGTTACCTGGAGATAGATTGTACCAAATGTCTTAACATTAGTCACGCAAAATCGGGATATTCCGATATGGTGGTTTTTGAGCTCTGAGCTATCGCTCCATTACGTCCCAAATATGCTCTGTTGGATTAAGATCCATAGAGTTATGTGGCCAGGACATTAATTGCAATTCATCCTTATACTCCTCGAACCACTCCAACACAATTCGAGCCTTGTTACATGGCGCATTGTCCTGCTGGAAGACTCCATTTCCAGTTGGGAAGACAGACGCCATGTAAGGGGTAACTGATCCGCAATTATGTTCAGGTGACAGGTGACGGAGGACGGGGACGCCTGGCGTCTAACAGAGGTAAACAGGCATATGTCCCACGCCCTCCCCTATCCAGAAGCAGCAACTCCCTGGGGCCTCATAAAGGCGCACCGGGAGTTTATTGATACTTCACAAAAGGTGTACATGGCCGTACAGGGGCTATTTCTTTTCAGAGTGACATTGGTTTACATGTTGGTCGGTTTACATTAGTTACATTGTTGGTATGACATAAACATAAAACTTTCATGATATACGATATTTGACACATAACATTAACCTAAACTTGAGCATAAGACTTGCTACTTTACATAATACATAAATTACTACTTACTCATAAATTACTGCCTACTGATAACATATAAATTCTGCTTATTCGTAAATTATCGCATACACATAGCAATTATGTTCAGATAGTCCGCAGCTTTAATAGTCTGTTCTATCACAACTAAGGGTCCCACAGCCGCTCATCAAGGGTCCCTCAAAGAATAATACCGCTACCACCAGCCTGTGTATGACCTGCTCTACAAGAAAGAAGTAACTGTTTGCCTGGAAGACGGCGTACCCTGACCCGACCCTCGACGTCATGAATGAGAAACCGTGATTCATCCGACCAAGCAAATGTCTTCCTCTTTTTCATGGTCCAGTCTCGATGTTCCCTGGACCACTGTAAGCGTACTTAACAATGATGCTTGGTCACCAGAGGCACATGAGTGCAATCCAATATCCAACAATGTCCGCTGAACTGTGTGTTCCCGAAAAACTTACACTTGGACCTGCATCGTATTGGGCTTTCAGGTGAGCTACTGTCTGGCGCCGATTTTGCTGTACCAAGTAAGACAGTCTCAGACCTTCTATTTCTTTGATGACACGTGGACGTTCCACACTCGGCGCCTATTCCTGGTTTTACCGTCATTTATCCACTTTGCGTAAATCAACAGCAGATCGTGAACAACCTACCAGTCGTTCAGTTTCGGAGATACTCGTTCGGGCCATTACAATCTGCGCTCTATAAAATTCACTTAGATTAGCAGCCTTTCCTATCACTCGTAAAAGTGTAAGAATGACTCCTTACCTTCTCCAGTAACAATTAAATACCATTCCCATTTAATCAATCGCTCTCCACATCATCCAGACGAGTTCACCGAAAATGTGGGAATGGTCAATGTTTTAACTCGTCAGTTTATATGTATGAGATAAAAACAAACTCAGAAGTAACTGACCAAAAGAATTTTGATGGCGTAGAAGTGTTGATCCATAATGAAAAGGAAATCTTCATTTTTTATTTCAGCAAACATGTTGCGGCTACAAACAAGTTGACTCATTAATTATACCTATTCCAAAAAGCTTACATTTTAGATAATTTTGCAGTAAGAAAGGAGGAAAAGACAGACTGAAGTCCAGCTAGGCCAAAGCGCAGAGAGCAAGTGCGTTATGTTGAGAGCGAAATCTTAATTCAGATTGAGTCAGTTTTGGTAATTTTGATTGGATAGTTAATATTGCTATAAAATTACTATTAGCTGTCTGAGTTTTAGCCCCCCTCCCGGGGGTTGACTCAGGCGAATGCCTGGGAAGTACTGGTTAGGATCTGAACCTAAGCAGTCTCAACCACGGGGACATAATAACAGACTTCACAGAAGGCCTGAGGGCTCTCAGGACAGAGTAAGGCTCGGCAGGGACCGTACTGGTACTACCTTGTCTGCCCTTGCTTTGTGAGGTCGCAACCATGGAGGTAGGAAAGGGAGGAGGGGCCATTCCGCGCTAGAAGTGAAGCACTGCTTTAAAGCTTGGGTCACCAGACGGGATGTTCTTTGTTTACATTCAGAAGCTCGCTTGACAAGATTCTGATAGTATTTCGATACACGACAATTCCATAGAAATCGAAAAAGGGACACTCTCGCATGAAAGAAACATTCATAGTGTGATGGATAATAGCAATTTGTATAGTTTACTGACATTTACGCAAAAATCACATCTTGGTTATTTTTCGATACTAACAACAGCGATTTTGATTATGAATTTGTTTTATAAAATTCTAAGCAGTTGCACTACAAAAATATAGATTTTAAGGAAATTGCTAAAAGAGATCTGCCAAAATTTATTTTCAGGAAGATTTGAAAAGTTTGAAACTTGATGGCTAAATGTAAATATAAAATTATGTATGTTAAAATATTTGTAATTAGGCACATAGGTCAGATTAAGTTTTTATTAAATAGAGTAACGCATGCAAGGGCTATCTGCCTAAAGAGAGAGATGCCATCGTGGAGGAATTTTGAAGAAAAACTGACCTTTGAGTGGGTATTAAAAAATAATACTTATAATTTTCATTCAAATTATATTCATATATATTTTTATGTAAAACTTTCGGGTGTATGCTAAATTAGTGTAAATTACTTTACACGAAAAAATATAGTGAATGCACAGAAATTAAAGATTTGCACATGCCGGAAATGATAAATAGGAAATATGTATGGGTATTTATGCATGTGCTTGCAAAAAGGATGTATCTGCCTTTGACAAAATACTTAAATATTCATTAAATTATTTATAAATGTATTTGAAATGAAGAATTTATTCACTTATAAACAACTGTGAAAGTACTGTGAAGAAATCTAATGATTAAATGTATCTAATTTATAATGATTATAAATGTTATCTAAATATATAATAACCTTAATATTGAATTGTAAACATAAATTGAAATCCTGTTGACAAATACGTTATAAAACTATTTAAGCAAGAATTGTTCGTATTGGAAAGCAATCTGTTAAAAGGTATTGTAAAGCAAATGCTATGAGATGCGCACTTAAGAACGTAATAAAGAGTTTTGGAATATGTATTGTTGAAATAAAGGGTAAAAAAAAATCTGATAAGTATAATTAAAAGAATTATTCCCTTTACATTTTATAATAACTCAGTTACAAATTTTAAATAATACTTAAAAAAAAACTTGTTTTATTCCCTTTCAGAAATGTTCAGAGAAAGTCAAATACTATTTAATACCTTATAACGTTGCGCGCCTCCAACTTGCACGCAACCAAGAGGTGACTGTGAAAACTTGTATAAAAGATAGAAGCTTGTGAAGGGTTTAAGTCCCTTTTTATTCAACGTAATAAATTACAATTGCGTCTCTTGACGCTTACAGACGGTGCCAACTTGGCAGTCAAATAAAAATAATAACCTGAAAAGAAAATAAAGACAAGATTCTAACTACGAGGCTCTCTAAAATAACTAACTCACCGCGTTTTACAATACCGCTGCTAATTCAGCAGACTTGAAGCTCACTGGAACGATGACCACTACTTCCCGCCAAGCACATAGGCCGCAACGCGGGGTTCTTCAATTCTCGCTAACTACCTCCGCGCTCGCTAAGTAAGAGAATCTCTCACACCGAACTTGTTTCCTTCTATTTAAATCAGAATACTTCCGCTGATAATTTGAATCCTTGCGCGTTCTACTCAAATTTACATATTCTGGCATTGGCAGTTCCAGGGGAAAGTAAGGCTTGACAGGAAAGATAGTTTAAACTTAAAATAAATGTTAGTTAAAATAAATATAAACCCTACATTTGCCGCTGCCAGAATTTGGAAAACTTGGAAGCAGGTCCTACAAACGACCTGTTGTAAGTTTCTCTAATTCTGAACTAACTGGCGAGAACCTCGTTTACACAAAAAAATCTTATGTAACCATTTG